ATTTATTCTTCAGTTTTCCAGACCTTTTTTCATGCTATCCTTAATTTGTACCTCATTGGTCAAAATAATGCAAGATTCCTTACTGTACACGAGAAGTTTTTTCATGCTCTTCAAATAAACCTTCTAAAAACTTTAAAAAGAAGAAAGCTTCTAAAGTATAATATCTTTAGCAAATTTAGTCACTTTTTTCTTTTTGTTTTTGTACTTCTCTAGACTCCACTTTTCTTTTGTTCAGATTAAAAACAGTTTTACTATTTTGCTTCAGTTATTTTAGATGCTAAAGAGTTCAACTTACCGTTGCCGGCTTACTGTTGCATCACTGACAGCGAAGAAAAAAACATTGTCGGGTACAACAATCAGCACTGTTTTACTTTCTGATTATGCCCGTTAGCAAGAAAAAAGACAGACAAGAAGTTAAGTAGTAAACATGTAGGTCAACTTCGAAGCATGTCTGTTTTCTCCTTTTTTCTTTTCTTTTGCTTATAAATGCTTAAATACTGAGAAGAATCTTATGTTTTATTGGCCATCACTAAAACAGCTGAATGAAACAACTGTATTGATCTAAAAACTACTACAAACACCAGTTTACGGAGCATTGGTTAATAAAAAAATAAATACTCAGAGAAATACAGGTGCAAGTTGTAGGTACAGCATTATTGTCAGTTTAGTTTTAGCTATTTTTTTCAATACATTACTCGCCTGCTTTTTGGCCTTAATGCTAAGATTAAGAAGAAGAAGAACTTGAAGCTAATGAACTTGGGAGAGTTTAGTGAGACTCAAATGTACAGACAACAGTCAGTCGAATAACAACCGGTGGCAAGTAATTATCCTACGATGAAATCATCAAAAATTTTTTTTATTAGTGCTTATATGCTATTGAACTTTTTTATTTTGTTTTGGTACTAGAAAGACGATGAATACAGATGATGAAAAGTCTCCGCTAGCATCTAAAGTCTCTTTTTTTTATTGTATTCTTTTTTCTTTTTTCTTTTTCGGGGGTGGGACTGAACAGAGCTTTATACAGATTTTCTTTTCCCGCTCCATACAGCAGCGACAGTAGGAGAACGGGAACGAATTAGAAACTGAAACGGTCGAAAAAAGATGTTCAACAATCGGATCAGTATCGCTGCTTATTGAACAGATTGTTGGCTGTGTGCATTCTTGCTGTTTGATACGTTTACTCTGTGCTGCTGCTATTGTTTGACTGCTGCAGTGTTACTCACAAAATTCCAACCTTTCGTATTTTCCTCTCCAACGAATATCTTGATTACTAAAAAAGCCGAATAGAGAGAAAAAAACGACTTTTTTTTTTAGACTTCCAGTTTTTTTCGTACAAGTTTATTGCAGAAGTTCAGTAAAAATTTTTTTTTTTCACTTAGAAGTATTAAAAAAAAAACGGGGTTTGATCGACAACTGTTAAAAAAAAACAGTAATAAATATAGCGCTATTCTCTAATTTTTTTTTTATGACGATTGTCACTCATGGTTTTTTAACTTGTTTGCTTTTCCAGATTCTAGCTTCCTGTAATAGCTCCTGTGTAACTGATTCATATCTTTTTCTGATACTGGAAGCCATTGCCACGGCTGCTACTAAGCTATCATAGCCGTAGATAACATTACGACTATTCAGAATAACTGTCACAATCATCAGTGTTCAACGTACTGTCAATTGTTTCTTTTTTTTTTTAATGCTTCTAGAAACCAGATTAGTTCTGGTATGTTAGATAACGGTTTTTACTGCCTGCTGTAATAATAATTTGTTTATGCTGCCATTAACTGTGCCAAAATTACTTATTACCATTGAAAACTGTGATATTTAGCGCAAAAAAATCTAATATAAATGTAAAGCAAATACTGAAATGAATATGAAACCCTACAAAACAAGAAAGAATTATCATTGTGCATATATGCTGTACATATTTATTTGGTGCATAAGCATATTTATTTGGATAGGAGGATATGCAGAAACAAAATAGCATCAGCATTAATAGCGAAACAACGTTCGCTAAATCACTGAGCAACTCTTATATCAAAATGTCCTACGACTTTTTCTCTACATTTTTTTTTCTCGTAACTTATCCTGTTCACCAAGAGCTGAATAAACCATACAGAACGAAAAGCTTCTAAAACCAGGATATTTGAAAAATATCACCATCATCTATCCACTGACTGTGAATGATATTTGTGGCAAACAAGTATATAAATATTAAAATGAACCTTCTTCAAAAAGAACATTTTTTGACAAGTTGTTTGCTTGTTGCTGTTCAGCTAGCCAATTCAGATATCAGAAAAACAACCAATACTGCACATTTTTAAGTTTCTGTTGCTGATCCAAATGTTACTGAAACAGCTCAAACAAAAAAAAGACGAATGATAAAAAACAACTAAAATTTGTTATAAATTTATTTGGACATATATCTTTATATTAGGAAAAGAACAAAGCGAAAAAAGTTTCAACACTTCTTTCTTTGCTCTTATAACTAGCCAGATGTCTAGGAGTGAACAACAATACAAATTTCAATGATTATTTTCTGCAATCATGATCTAATAACATGGTGAATGATTTACTTTTTTGCTTGCCTTTATTCACCAGCGACTGCAACTGATTTCCCACTTGAAACACTATACTGTTTCTTGTGTAAAATCATTTGCATTTATATCATTGTCATTGCCTGTATTTCATTAAATTTTCCTTTTTCTTTTTTTTTTCCACTGCCAAAACTTAAAAAAAAAAAAAAAGAAGAAAAGAAGAGGTCATGACGTTAATATGTGTCAATGTTAATCTTTGGATTCACCACTAAAAATGTTAATTCTGAAAAAAATTGAAGAGCAACAAAACGAAAAAAACACAACATAAACAATATTTGTGGATCATAATGGTATTAGTGTCTCAAGTGAAGAAAAAAACAGGCTTATAACAAGATAAAAAAACGGAAGAAAACAAAAAGCGAATTGAATTCGCATATTTCTTCTTCAGTTTCTGGCTAACTTGACCAAAAAAATTAGATTTCATCTGTGACAAGATGTACAATTGATTACATTTACAGTACATCCAGTGCGGCGCTTCAAAATAACATCGTATCTTAAAATGAGTAAAGCCAAGAGCAAAAAACGGCTAAAATACTTTAAAAACTTGCGAGTTGTATCTTTAAATATGCTATATTTATAAAAACAATTCTTAATCATCGTCGTCATCATCATCTTTCTGGATGCAATAGGATGCAATGGCACAAAAATCAAGTATTATGACGTTATTTCACTGTACTAATGATTCGTGAACTCGTTCGACTGTTGTAATACACAGAGACATAAAGAAACAAACAAACACGGAAACACTCACAAATTCTATAAATAAAATAGATAAATCCATAAAAAACCATGAAAAGAATTCTTAACAGTTTACTGGGACAATCTAAAAATACAAATCTATAATCACTTCATAACTAAATTATCAACCACTGATCACTTTTACTTGAACTGTTACCATGAGCCACAGTTGTTGAGATTTAGCGTAAAAGTGTAGAATGCAAATAACTGTGACCTAAACAAACGAACCAAATATTGCTACAATGAACAACACCGACCTAGTACAGCATCGTCATACTAAATACTTCTCAATCTCAGAAGAGAATAGATTAATTCTAGGCTAAGCCTCTTGCCTGTTATTGAAAATGGTCACTATATCCCGGTGAACATTCAAAATACATGAATAAATTTATTGTTCACTGCCAACAACATTTAATACTGCTTCAGAAGCCGCATGCACGCCACTATCACCAATATCAATCAACTGAAACTTGAGAACACTGGTCTACTCAATGCTGCCAGTATTGCCCAAAGCGATGTTTTAATAATACCTCATCAGTTGCATTAGTTATTCTACAACGGAGAAAACGACACCACACTAATCAGTTTTAAATAGCCTCCATTCTCGCTGTTACCAGTGCAACAACACCTGCGAAGCATTTACCGTAGACACGCTCCCAAATGACTGCAACTCATCAGACAAATGCCAGCAATACATTTTGGTAGGTCTAACGATACTTTGTTCCAGTTTACTCTTTTGGCGATAAGTTTTCTAACTAAAACAGGGTAGAAGTGAAAAAATTTTATGAATTTTATTACCTTAGCAGGTATAAACTGACAATTTGTCACAATGGCAACATTTATACAAAAATACGATCAAAAAACCAAGAAGATAAAACATCCAAGATGCAAAGAAGAGAAAAGGAAGCAATAAAGAGGTCCAGTTGTAAAGTTAAACAGAATAAGTGACTGAGAACGCGAATTTGACAAAAATTTAGGAACGGCAAGATAACTATGAGCACTGTTCATCAACAATGATAAGCAGAAATAAGAATGATTAATACTACAGTGAAGTTCCTTTTTAAAATTCTCTTCCCTAACTTCTAGTTCTAGTAAAAACACAGCGATCATACTTAAGTCAGTAAGTTCCACAAGAGAAAATCTAAGGAAAATAAATTCTATAAAAAAGGAAGCAAAAATGCTAACGCCATTTTAGGTGTTCAGCAAAGAGATTTTTCAAAGTAACGAAAATCTTTTGATGGAATAAAGTTGGGAAGAAAACGAGTAATAAACAAATGTAAAAAATAAAAATTCTGAGCATTATATGTCGTAACAAAAGACTCCCAATTCGAAGAAGAATAAAACAAATGAAATATCAAGCCAAATAAATTCATTAAAATTTACTGCACTCAGTATTTATAATAAATAGAACAAAGCAGGCAGTTCGCAAAATTTTAGGGAAGAAATTAAATAAAATGTACCCGTAGAAAATGAGATACGCACAATATATGAATTACACTAACAGTAAAACAAGTATAAAATCCTATTATCACAGAAAAAGTATAAACAGTGGAAACAATGTGCAAGTTATAAGCTGCTGTAGTTTTCAAATGTCACAGAATATTTAAACGTTAGCAAATGATGCCAAATTTGACTAGATCCAATTCACGAATCTTATGCACTGACAGAAAATCCTCAAGTTTGATAAGGGTTATCAAAAGTAGCATAAAACTCAAGTGCAGCTTGATAACAAAAATGATATTGATCTTTATCTTGAACCATATTTTGCCTCTCACTGCGTAGCAGTTTCACAGTTGTAAATACATCTACAACCTGCTCCAACTTCATACGATCAATTATTATGCTTAAAGCTATGAAAACTCCAGTTCTGCCTGCCCCTGTAGAACAGTGCACAGTTATCGGGCCGACTTTCCCAAACTGAGTTTTCGTGTGGTGTACCTAAAAAGAATATTATACGTCAAAATACTGCAACAGAATCTGGACACCTATTGAACTATGAAAACCGTTGGTGGCTGGATCAGTTTTAGGGCAAAAAAGATGTCGGCAATTAAAATACTCATCCAAATCTCAAAAAATAAAATTGACCCTAATACTCTCAACAAGTATCGGAAACTTTTTTAAAAATAGCTTAAAAAAATATTTTGAGGTAGTAATGTGTAAAAAACCACAATTACAAAAAAAAAAATCGAAAAATACAATATTCACCTGATGAATGAAGTCAATAAACTGCTCAGTACATTTTGGAACGCCTTGTTCTGGCCAATCTGCGTACTGGAAGTGCCTTACCGTTCGTGACTGACCACACTAAAGTAAAAAATTGTAACAAACAAAACGTACAATTTTATAAACTTTCACAAGTCGGTCTTAATAAGCAAACGCATTTTACTTCAAACATGGAGGAGGCAGTCAAGTGGAGTACTTACTCATCGATGAATACACTTTAATATTGGTCTAGGTTTTTAACCCCTCCTAATTAACGACAACAGCATTAAAAGTTGGAGTACTGATGAAATATAAATCCCCTTCAGTTTCAATTTATTAATCAAGTACTACCTATTCCAAAAATCAACTTCAACTACAATACAAATACCGATTCAAATCAATCATAAGCAATGAAAAAACAATGCCGTTTTTTAGACATGAACAAATACAAACCCTTGTGTCCGTTATCCTGAATTCACGAAGTATATATTGAGGCATATTGTACTCTGCGATTGGCTCTACTACAAGATGTCCAAACTGAGCGCCCGATCCAACTGGCCAATACTCACAGCATTTTTCCTGCAAGTATGTAATGATTAATAGAGGTGGCTTTCCGTGCATTTCAAAAGAAAGGTACTTAGGAAAATGTACTCAGGAATAGTTGGTAAAACAACGAACAGGTAATTAAACAACATACCCGTCCAAGCTCACGGATTTTAACCAACATAACAATAATTGCCGATTCATGCTCCCAAATCATCCTCCAGAAGTCATTAACTGTGTGAGGCATTGGGCCCTGCGTGGCAATATACGCATTGCGCTGTCTAAGCAACAAAATATCATCCAAAAATAAACGAAGTGAAAGAAGCGACACAGAAAGAACAAAAAAGTTGGAACACAGCTTGACACGTAATTGTAACACCGAAGAGATTCATCAGACCTGTAGCCATCAATCCACGACGCATTAATGTAATCTGACCCATCAACACCAGGTATCTCCTCCAGTAAAACCCTAGCAGAATCATAAGGAACCATGTTCACAAGCCGATTCTTCGATCTGTTTGCTGGAAGATTTGCAACAGCACATCTCGAATTGACCATTTTTAGGGTAGCCAAATGCTAAAAAGCATAAAACTGGTGTGTGATAAATACGCTGGTCAAACAGTCAACAAAAAAATTCTTCTTTTCTGCACAAACCCGGAATTCAAGTTCCATTGAAGATATCTGGTCAATAGCCTGAATTTGCAGCAGAGCTTGCATATGAGTATACAACTTATTTACAGGTACTTCCGTAGAACCGGACTGAGCAGCGTCAAGAACAGCATCATGAATAAAGATGTACTGATCATCTGTCTAAAAGAAAATATTTATACTACTAATAAAAATTTTTTTCTTAATTAAGTAAATAACTCCTTACTTGAACCATATAAGACCGTTGAGATCGCAGTGCAGTAACACATCCAAAAATATCTACTGTATTTTCATAACGTAATCGTTCGAGCATACAATCAATAGCAATAAAAGCACCGGTACGACCAATTCCAGCGCTAAAGCATCATTCTATGACCACAACAAAAATCTAGCAAAAATTAGATTAATACCTATCACTAAGATGCCAACAAAAAACTCAGGCATATTTTTACCACTTTTTTCACTGAGCACTCTTACAATGTTGCGCAATTCACGATAATGAACCTGCAGTGAGTGACAATTGGCCCGGCGTTTGGAGGATTCAAAGTTTTAACCCTTTTAAGAAACATAAGAAATGGAGTAGGCTTGTCAGGAACACCGTGATCAGGCCAGGCTGTGTATTGCAGATGGCGAACATCCCTCGTCTCACTGTTTCCTCGATGTTGCAACTGGAAGGTTCTTATTGTATAATGAGCCAACTCCAGCGTTTCGACCAAAGTCACCTAAAATACAATAAAATGCATAAAGTACTGCGCAGAAAAATAATCTAAAACAGCTGAATTACGAAGGACCTGAAATAATGATGAATTTTCGTAGAGGACGATTAAACAAATCCTTACCGCAATATTTCCGTATGTGGAAGTTCCGCGAGACGGCCAGTACTGGTCACACTTAATGCGAGACCTCTCTTCCAACCTCGTCAACATCACAACTGTTGCACAGCTTTGTTCCCAAACCATCCTCCAAAAGTCGGCAAATGTTTCCGGTAGCGGGCCTTGGGTAGCAATATATGCCTTTGTCTAAACGTATAGAAAACTACATTATAAAAGAACTGCTTCCTTCAGATGACTGAGATGAAATGTTGGGAAAAGTACTTGTCAGGTAAATGCAAAAAAAAATTTAAAAGAAATTTAAAAATGTAAGTCATAAGAATAAAAAACCTTCTCGTATCCGTCAATATAATTTGCATTTATATAGTCGGTGCTCGGATCACCGTTTAAAACCGTGAGC